GGTGCCTCAGAGTTGTTTTGATTTGCATTTTTCTAATGTATAGTGATTTAGAGCATTTTTTATATAACTATGAATAGCTTTAATTTCTTCCTCAGGAAACTGCTTGTTCATATCCTTTGACCATTTATCAGTTGGGGAATGACTTGTATTCTTATTAATTTGACTCAGTTCTCTCTATATAGTTTAGAAATGAGGCCTTTTATCGGAGACACTGGCTGTGAAAATTGTTTCCTAGCGTTTTGCTTCCCTTCTGCTCTTAGTTGCATTGCTTTGTTTGTACAAAATTTTTTCAATTTAGGGTAATCAGAGTCATCCATTTTGCATTTCATAATGAAGAATAGGCAGTTCTCAAAGGAAGACATCCAAGCTGTCAATAATCATATGAAAAAGCTCCATGTCAGTAATTGAGAAATGGTGATGTTGTGAATTGGTCTGTTGCTTCTAGAAAGCAGTTTGGAACTCTTCCCCGAGGCCCACTAAACTGTATATATGTTCTAGGTCCAATTTTTTTTTAACCTATTGTCTTCAGAATTAGAAATTAAGCTTTTTGAAGACAGGGACTGCATTTTTGCCTTTCATTGAATCCCTCGTGCCTTGGCTCAGTATCTGGCACAGAGTGAATTCGATAAATGCCTGTTAACCAAGTGGCTGACTTTATGCCCTTTAATCTCATGGTACTGCTGCTAGGCCTGTATCTGAAAGAGATCGATAAGAGAAGGAGAAAAGTACTCAGTGTACAGCAGTATCTATAGCAGCTGTTTTTTTAGTGGCAAAGAACTGGGATGTTTGTAGGAAATGATGAAAGGGATAGTTTTAGTGAAACCTGGGAAGAGTTGTACAAACAAATGTGGAGTGAAGTGAGCAGAACCAGAATAATTTATAATATTATGAAGAAAAACAGCTTTAAAAGACTGGTTGATCAGTGTAGTAATCAACCGTGATTCCAGAGGACTGATGATGAAATGGAAGGCCCATCTCCTGACAGAAGGAGGGTGATTGACCCAACGTACAGAACAAGACATATGTTTTCAAACATGACCAGTAAGGGAATTTGTGTGACTACTCGCATTTGTAACTAGGACTTTCTTTTCCTTTTCCTTTTGATTTTTTTTTTCAGTTTGGGGGAATAGGCTGGTAACAGACAGGTACTAGGGATAGAGGAGCCAGAAGAAAAGCAAAGAATAGAATGTCATTGAAGCGTATTTTACAATTCACAGAAAGAACAGAAGACCAGAGAGAACCCGACAAGTAGGGTGTCTTTGAAAATTACATGATGATTTTATGATACTTAAAAAGAAGTTATACATAATGAGATCCATGTTCTGTGTACAACATTCTTTTTCTGTTCTATTACATATATGGAAGTGCCCATTTTATTTGGTGTTCATTATATTCAGGATACAAATTAATAAAAAGAAAATTATCAAAGTTGAACAGAATTGTCATGAAAGACTTAGAATGACCTGGCTTTGCCTAATATTGCTCCCAGAATAACTGACTGCTCCCTGTAGCTTACTTGGTGAAGGTGACGCGGAGATCTAGGGTCCTAGTGTACACCCTGGGAAGCTGCCTTCGTGGAGTCAGGTCTCAATCTCTGGCTCTTTGGAAATATATATTCTGGCACAGACTTCAGAGCTTTCTGGTTAGCTTGTCTGTTTGATTTTAGTATTCACTTGAGTTGAATGTTATGGGGGAAACAGTTTATCCTTTTGCAGCTGGAGACTCGAACCTGTTTTTTGGCTTTATTTGTTTCAGTCTTGTCCAGCTCTTTTTTTTAATAGTAATCCCCCCCCAGTTACTTGTCAAGAAAGTTTTTAGCATTCATTTTTATAAGATTTTGAGTTTCCGTTTTGTCTCCCTCCCTCCCTGTTCCTTCTTGAAAATGGTAGGCAGTTTGATATAGTTTATGCATATGCTGTCATGTAACAATATGAAAGAAGGAACAGATCAAAAGGGGAAAACGTGCGCTGAGCTGCATACAGAGCCTGTTGGCTCCTCATCCGAATAAAGAGCATTTCCATTCACGAGCGCCTTGCACTTCTCTTGGATCATTGTGCTGCTGACAAGAGCTGAGGCGCTTACGGTGATCATCACACGGCGCTGCTGATGCTGTGAACGGCGTTTTCCTGATTCTGCCCATTTCACTTTGCATCAGTTCATGCAGTTCTTCCCAGGCTTTTCTGAACTCTGCCTGCTCATCGTTTATTAGAGCACAATAGAATTCCATCACATTCATCTACCACAACTTGTTCAGCCATTCCCCAGTCGATGGGCATCCCCTCAATCTTTGCCACCACAAAAAGAGCTGCTATAAGTATTTTTGTACGTAGTGGGTCCTTTTCCCAGTTTAAGATCTCTTAGGGATACAGACCCAGAAGTGGTAATGTCGGGTCAAAGGGTATGCAGAGTCTTTTAGTCCTTTGGGCACAGTTCCAAATTGCTCCCCAGAGTAGTTGGATCAGTTCACAACTCCACCAACAATGCATTAGTGTTCCCATTTTCCCACATCTTCTCCAGCATTTATCATTTTTCTGTTTTGTCATGTTGGCCAATCTGATAGGTGTGATGTGGTACCTCAGAGTTGTTTTGATTTGCATTTTTCTAATGAATAGTGATTTAGGGCGTTTTTTTATGTGACTATAAATAGCTTTAATTTCTTCCTCAGAAAACTGCTTGTTCATATCTTTTGACCATTTATCAGTTGGGGAATGACTTGTATGCTTTTAAATTTGACTCAATTCTCTATATATTTTAGAAATGAGGCCTTTATCAGAGACACTGGCTATAAAAATTGTTTCCCAGCTTTCTGCTTCCCATATTCAACCCTTCATGGCCCCATTTGGGGTTTGCTTGGCAGAGATAATGGTGTGGTTTTCCATTTCCTTCTCCAGCTCATTTTACACATGAGGAATTGAGGCAAACACGGTTAAGTGACTTGCCCAGGGTCACACAACTACTAAGTGTCTGAGGCCAGATTTGAATTCACTCCAGGCCCAGTACTGTACCCACTGCACCCACCTGGCTACCCCCTTGAACAATGATATGAAAAATCTATGAATTTGCTAGGTGAATTGCAGGGGACAATAGGACTTTTAAGTATCTGACCTTCCTCCTGTTTTACATTTGACCTTTTTAAACTTTGTTTGTATTTTCGGACAGAATTGTTCTGCCTCTTGGTGCTGGATTTAAAGCAATACAGCATAGAGAACAGCTTTTCACTTCTTTAGGAGAGTGATAGGGCTTTAAAGGGTCTGACAGAAAAACTTTGTACACAAGTTTCAGACAGTGATACTCTTGTGGTTTTCAGAGCATCTATTGTATTTGCTCCATGCTACCCAAATTGTTCCTATTGAACAGGGCTTCCTTCTCTAAGGTAATGTAGAGAAGGAATTGTTTATTTCACTCCATGTTAGTTCAAATAGCTCTTCCCAGGTTTCACTAAAACTGTCCCTTTCATCATTTCCTACAGGACCTTCCAGTTCTTTGCCAATAAGAAAACGATTACTGTATTGTAGATTGAGTTCTTTCCTTGTCTAGTTGATCTCTTTGGGGCATAGATCTAGCAGTAGTGTTGCTGGGTTAAAGGATGTAAGTCAGCCCCTCATTAGTTGAGGGTTTAAACAAGTCATGTCAGAAGAATTCTTTTTGCCTCAGGTAGTTCAAACTAAACCCAGATTGTCTTCAGCATGCTTAATATCGACGTTAGTTGATTTCATGTGATCCTAGGACGCTTTATGAGAGCCTCACTTTGAAAAATTAAATCACCGTGTGAATGTCTGGTACTAAACATGAATGATGATGTGGTGGGGGACCAGGCAAGGGCAGTTGGGCTGGGAGTTATTTTCCTTTGTGCTAAGTTAGGCTGTTGCAAAGCTTCCCTGAATCCAGAGTGGTTGCATTTGATTTGGGGTTTAAACGGAGTGACGCTCTCAGTTATGGATGTTGTTCATCTCAGGAACGTGGCCTTTCTTACAGAATCTCAATGCTTCTCCTCCTCCTTCACTTTTTTTGCTTTTTTTGCTTTTATTTTCAACTTGGTGTTTTAGAATGAGGCATCTTTGGCAAAACATAGTGGTAGCTAACCTTAATATACCTTTTTATAGATGTGTGTGCATTCAGTCTTTACAGCAGCCCCATAGGGGAGGTTCTGTTATTATTCTCATTTTACAGCTGAGGAAATGGAGACTGAGAGAGGCTAAGTGACTGCTAGGGTGCCTCAGCTGGCAAATGCCTGAAGAAAGATTTGGAGCCAGGTTGTCTGGTAGGCAGCCAGTTCAGTGGGAAGAGCACATGCCACTTGTAGACTTAGGGGAGAGACCCAGGGGTGACACTTAGTAGTTGTGGGATTGGGCAAGTCACTTAAACCTCTTTGAACTTCATTCCTAAGGCTAATGTTTAGAATACCTTTTCTACAAGGTTGTTGTGAGGAAAGTGTTAAGTAAATGTGAATCATTATTATTGTTAATATCCTTCCCCTTCATTGTAGATTTGTGTTCTGTGTGATTTAGAATTTTGCAGGGTAGGAAATCATATTTTAGACTTTCAATCATGTCTGCCTCATTCACTTTAAATATATAATTTTTTGTTGGATATAAATGGGAATAAAAACTAAGTCTTCCTTAAACCTCTTAAGGATTGAAATAGACCAAAATGCAAATAAAGAAGGAAAAGAAATACTTTAAGGGAAAGATCAAAGTTAATCTTCTGGACAGAAAAGTAGAATTTGAGGGAAGCCAGTGAAGAAACTGGAAGCTGGACAACATTTTTCTGGGTGTGAGGAATGAGTTGAGAAGTTAGAGAAAGTAGATGTATGAAAGTAGATGCTGCTCTGACTTCCAACCTCTGCTCTCCCTGTATTTCACAAAGAGGCAAAAGGTATACAAATGTGCGCTCTCTAGGAACCTCCAAGCGAACCCATTTAGTTTAGTTTTGTTTGTCCTATTCATCTTGCATAATGTATATTCTCGCCATAACCCTAGACCCCTGTCTTCTTCCCCAAGGAGGCGATGACCGAAGGGTTCTGCTGTGGCATATGGAACAAGCCATCCACTCCAGAGTCAAGCCTGTCCAGTTGAAGGGAGAGCATCATTCTAACATCTTCTGCCTGGCTTTCAACAGTGGGAACACTAAAGTGTTTTCTGGAGGTAAGAAGAAGTGAAAGCCATTGTGGCCAGGGTCCTGAAGGAGGGGACAGCCCGATGAAGACCTTTTTAATGTCCTGTTATCATGTTAGGAAGTTACTGGCTGCTTAAAGTCTTTCTCCTGGGCACAGGTTGTACTATTTTGTTGTGAAGTTGTGTTTACCAGAAGAGGCAAATAGAAACCGCTTCCAACCTGGGCCTAACTTTCTCAATCTTGGGTGAATTAATTAGAGTAGCAGATTCAGCCTTGCTCCCTAGTTACTACCAGTGCTGGAGGCCATGACTAGAGCTGAGACTAGGATGACTTTTGAGCCATATACTTGCTATGACTTCTGCCTCTTTAGGCAACTATTGCTCACACATTGATTATAGAATGGGAAATTATTTATTATGTGTCTTTTTACATCCAGATTAACTCTTCAAAGGTAGGACTACACACAAAAAGGATTTACTAAATATTTTTATGTTAATAAAATACTCACATATCTTTTGATAGAAGAAAGAAATGGGATTTGCATATAGAGAAACTTGGATCTAATGTTCCCACATATTTAGAATCATAAAACATGAGAGCTGTCAGGGACTCATATAGTCATATAGTTCAACCAATTCATTTTGCAGATGAAACTTTCTTTTTATTTTTAAAATTAACTCACTAGATTATGTATTTTGAAAACATTATTTTGTCATCCTTATTTGCTGTTGACCTTTTTACATACTATAGCATTCTTATCCCTCCTCTAAATTTATTTTTAAAAACTTTTCCAGTTGACTCTTCTATTTAAGATCAAAGTAGATGATTTTTATAAGAAATTTTTGTTAAGTGCTAACTTAAACTGTGCATGGAGAAAACTTTTGTTATTAGCCATTTGTTTTTCTTCCTTATAGGAAATGATGAACAAGTTATCCTCCATGATGTTGAAAGGTAAATAGGTTGTTTGTGTGTGAAGGTGATTGATTGCTTCTATAACACTGAGGCAGATTTCTTCTCGGCCAAAATAATGCTCTCTAAAAAAATTAAAGCTACAAAATTCCTCTTGTAAAGAGGGAACTTGTTATAGTTTTATGACTTTATATTGCTTTGAGAGTCACCATAAAATTATTTTTAGGAGAAAACTTAAAAGGGTGAAGGAGGAAACTTAAGTAAAATCAGTTTCTAGCATTTTTTTTTAAACCCCCAATCACAGTCAGATTTGACAATTTAAAAGCCTTCCCTCCTTTCCTTGTTAGAAACCAAACATTAGGGGCAGCTAGGTTGCACAGTGGATAGAGCACCGGCCCTGAAGTCAGGAAGACCTGAGTTCAAATGCGGCCTCAGACCAAACACTTGACACTTACTAGCTGTGTGACCCTGGGCAAGTCACTTAACCCCAATTGCCTTAAAAAAAAGAAAAGAAAAAAATAAAAGAAACCAAACATTGTTGTTTTATAAGATTTCAGAAAAGTAAAAGTCAGGCTGGTCTATTGAGTGACTTTGCTCAATTAACAGGAAATGCAAACCAATAATATCATTGCATATTAAGAAAGTTTTAAAATACTGTAACATATCCTTTATTTTTAAGAATTTTTTTAAAAAATCGAAGAACATCACTGTCATTTCCCAGTGATACTATACCTTCTTTCTGTAGAACAAATAAGTCGTAGTCAAATAAAACAAATCAATAACGTTGTCCAGGGCTGAAAACATGTGCCTCATTTTGCAGCTTTTGTCCACTACCTCTCTGAGAGGGACCAGGCATGCTCACCATTGGTTACATCTTTGATCAGCATTTTGGAGCCTTTCAGTGGTGTTCTTGGCATTCTTGTGGGGGTTATGCAAACTGTGCTCCCAGCTCAACTCACTTTGCTGTTCATCAGTTCATTCAGTTCTTCCAAAGTGAATCTTCCTGTTTGTCATTTCTCATGTCATAATAACACTTACATGCCTCTTAGAAAAAAAGGAGACTCATACCATCTGTGTGGGCAAATCTTCACCTTTCAGTACCTTAGACGGCCCTCCGAGACCATAAGCTGTTTCAGATCTGGATTGACAGAGAGAATTTCCTTTTGGGGAGTTCACTCACTAATGAAATAATAGGTCCAGTCCAAAGGAAAAAAGCCACAACAGTTATCATATAATTGCTAGATTTTGGTAACTTCCCTCACAAACAAAACATGTGTGCCAGAAGGGTAGAAGTCTGCGTATGTGTGTGTCTCTCTCTTTCTTCTGCTCTGTCTCTCAGCAGCGAGACCTTGGATGTATTCGCCCATGAAGATGCAGTCTATGGCCTTTCTGTGAGCCCTGTGAATGATAACGTTTTTGCCAGCTCATCAGATGATGGACGGGTTCTCATCTGGGACATCCGGGAGTCTCCTCATGGAGGTGAGCACCCATGGGTGAATATTCTTTAGTTTTTTTAAAAGCCCTGTTTTTGTCAGTTGGTAGACCTCAGAGAGGGGAGTAACGTCAAGGGCAGAAAGACAAAAGATTTCCCCATGGAGAGGAAACAAACAAATAACTAGTATGTTTTTGAAAGTAAATGAATATAAATTAGAAATAATAATTTATTTATGATAAAAATAAATTATTATCAATGAATAAATAGTATGGAGCTGCCAAACTCCACACTAAGTGATGGGGATAAAAATACAAAACTGAGATAGTCTCTGCCCTTAGGGAACTTATATTCTAATGGGAGAGAAAACACATATAGGGGAGTATTGGGCAATATTTGATCTGAGATTTCACAGGAAAGGTGAGTGAAGCCATGGGGAATCTGGGGACTTGAGGTTCCAGAAACAATAATGTGATTGTGATGTGATTACATTTTCCAGAGAGAGAGAGAGAGAGAGAGAGAGAGTGTGAGTGCATGTGTGGGAAGGAGGAGGGGGGGTGGCAAGGATGAATGTGCATATGGCAGCAGTGTGGTCAAGAAGATGGCTGGGAGTTTGGTGAAGTGTTTTAGTGCCAACTAGATAGGATAGCCGGCATGAGCTATAGATAGATAGATAGATATAGATGTATATAGATGTGCATATACATATGCACACACATATATCTCCTTAGGATATGCATTAAGAAGTAGTCAGCTTGAATGACATCCCCAACCCCCCTTTTGCTCATTCTCCTAAATATCCATATATGTTCCACATGTAACCTGGCATGGGTCAGTAAGTCAGCAAGCATTAAGTACCTACTATTTTTGCCAGGTGCTATGCTGAATACTGGGGGATACAAAGAAAGGCCGCAGATAATGCTAACCCTTAAGGAGCTCACAATCTGATGGGGGAGATAACATGCAAACAACTCTGGTACAAACAAGATATATATACACAGGATAAACTGGAGATAATGAATGGAGGGAAGACATTAGCATTAAGTGGGATCCGGAAAGGCTTCTAAAGAAGGTGAGATTTCAGGTGGGCCTTCTGGGAGGCCAGGAGGGAGAGATGAGGAGGGAGGGAGTCCCAGGCATAAAGGACAGCAAGTGAAAATGCGTATAGTCAGGAGATGAATTAGGAATCGCACGGAGGCCCGTGTCACTGGGTCATAGAGTATATGGAGATGGGGAGAAGTAGGGTGGAGGAAAGACTAAGAAGGTAAGAGAGGCCAGGTTATAAAGGGCTTTGTTCCCAAACAGAGAGTTTTCTAGTTGATCTTGGAGGTGACAGGAAGCCCCTGGAATTTATTGAATGGGATGGAAGTAGGAAGACGTGGTCAGACCTTTGTTTCAGGAAGTTCGCTTTGACAGTGGGGTGGAGAGTGGTCTGGAGTAAGGAGAGACTTGAGGCAAGGAATCAACTAGAAAAATTGTGCGGTAATTCAGCGATGAGGGTATATACCAGAAGGATGGTAATGTTCTTACATTCCTGTGGTTGAGAAGGGAGTGAACATGAAAGATGTTATTGAAGGTAAAAATCAATAGGACTTGACAACAAATTGGACATGAGGGGTGAGAGAAAATGACTAATCGAGGATGTTGTGAGGTTGGGGGACTGGGAAGATGATGGGAGTCCTCAACACTAATGGGGGAATTTGGAAGAGGGAAAAAATAATGAGTTCTGGTTTGGATATTTTGATTTTAAGATGTCTTCTGGACATCTAGTTCAATAGAGAGATGTGTGGCTGGAGGTTAGGAGGGAGGTTAGTGCTAGATAAGTAATAATAACAATAGCTAGCATTTATATCGCATAAATTTATATATTTATCTAGCACTTCATATAACATTTATATAGGACTTTAAGGACTGCAAAGCATTTTATGAATATTATTTATCCTCATAACCACCCTGGGAGGTAGACACTATTATTATCATCCCCATTTTACAGGTGAGGAAACTGAAGCTAACAGAAATTAAGTGACTTGCTCAGAATTGCGCAGCTAGGAAGTGTCTGAGTCTGGGTTTGAACTCAAGTCTTTCTGTTTCCAGGCCCTGTGCCCCCTGTATTTGAGAATCATCAGCACAGAGATGATGCATGTTACAAAAACATCCTGTCACTGAAAGGACAGTAGTTCTACCATAGACGTTAGTGATACCAATGGAGAAAATCAATAGCTTCCTAATAACCCAGTTGATATAGGTCCATAGTACCTACAGAATCAGTACTATGACTTCTAAGTTGTCTACAACCTAAATTATTTGTAAAGAATGCAGGGGCTCAGTGCATTCCTATAGGCCCAAATTCCCAGTCTTTTCTGCTTTGCACACAGATCTATGAGACTTAAAATTTAAAGAGAATTCTTTTATTGTGGTACATTACGTAGGTAATGTACCACTGGGCTACAGCCTAGCCCAGTGCCTGGCACGTGGTATGGGTATGTAAAAGGTTATAGACTTAAAGCAGAAAGGGGCCCTAGAGGTCATTTAGTTCAGCTTCCTCATTTTTACATATGAGCAAACTGAGGCCCAGAGAACTCTCCAGGATCACATAGAGAGGAAATGTAACCAGGATTGGAACCCAAGTTCTCTGACCCCAATCCGACATTCTTTCCATTATGTGTTGCCACATAAATCTTTGTTCACCGATTGATAATTTTTATCTAGAATTTGAGGCAAAAATATATTAGCGTGGAGCAGTCTGTATCTCTCTCCTGAAGTTCCTTTAGCAAGCCCATTCTTCTTGTGTGATACTGCATCTTTTCTTGCTTTTTTAATTGAAACTTAAAGTCCATATTTCCTTGTTTTACTAACTCTCCCTATTTTTCAACATTTCTCCACGATCTCTGACCAACCATCCTCTCTCTTCCTTATTCCTGTTCTCCAATTTTGTGCTGGTCAGATGAAATATCCTCCCTATTATAGGCTGGTTGCTAACAGAGAGCTTTATTTTCTCCTCTGATAACTGAAGCAGTTGAACTCTAAGGTTCCTTGCTGCTTTAAAATAGTGTGACTCTAGGACTGTGTATTGATCTGTGTTTGAAACACCTGTTATTCTTTATGGACTCTAAAAGTATTAATTGCCTGACTGATACCCAACCTGAGACATTTTCAGAAATGTACAGGCAAAGCACTGTGGTATGGAGGGTGAATTTCACTTCTGGAATTGCCTGCTCTGCACCTTCCTGGAGCCGTGGTCAGTGAAGTAGTTTTTTTTCCGTCTATGTAGTACAGTGGATAGAGCAGCAGGCCTGGAGTCCATCTTCCTGAGTTCGAATCTAGCCTCAAATACTTACTGTGCAAGTTGCCTTAACCCTGTTTGCCTCAGTTTCCTCATCTGTAAAATGAGCTGGAGAAGGAAATGGCCAACCACTCCAGGATCTTTGCCTAGAAAACTCTAGATAGGGTCATGAAGAGTCGGACACAGCTTAAACAACTGACCAACAGAAATTTGACTTTTCTCTCCTACTTTGAGAGGTACGAGGTGACGAATTTCATCTAGATAGTGCCTGTTTGGAATTGGTTGAGTACAAGAGTAGGTGTCAAATGCATTTTCTCCCCCTTGTCTTCTCCTACCTAGAAACCAAATTCTAGTGTTTTAATGTGAGCTTTTCCCCCCTCACTTCCATCCCTTTTTGGATGGGCAAAATCATCTAAACAACAAAGGAAAACTTATGAGGTCTTTTCCAAGTTATTATTCAATTTAAAATTCTTAGTTTTAAAAATTTAATAACTTGGGTCATAAGATCAAAGCTGGAAGGGACCTTAGAGGTCATCTGGTTCAATTCCCTCTTGTACAGATGAGAACAGAGCCGACAAAGCTAAGTGATTTAACTTCAGGTCACATGAGTGGTAAATAACTGTCAGGGTTCTAGACCTGGTCTTCTGATTTTAAATCCAATGTTCTTTCTACAGCAGTTGGATCTTCCAGTTAATGATTTGCACATTTCTCCCACCCCCCCCAACTGATGTAGTGCTTTAATTTTCCTAACCATATTATATAGTTTTCCTTGCTTTAGCAGTAATTTTTGTTTTCCCCAGTATCTGAAGGTGAGGATCCACTACATGCAACTGTGTAATGTAATTGTTCCAAATTTTAAAAACTATTTTAAAATTATACATATTAACAGAAACAATATCTAACAATTTAAATTAACATTTAGAAGTGTATGCGGGTAGTGTAAAAACCCCAGCGTGCTCCTCTTGAGAGATTATTTGCCATGCCAGAATTTTCACTCAGTGGGACATTTGCTTTGCAGTGCGTTGCTCCATTCACCTTCCTTTATTCGCCCTTGTATAGCCCAAGGTGCATGTAAACCAGTTGAACAAAATGCTTTTTCTTCTACAGAGCCCTTCTGCTTGGCAAACTATCCATCAGCCTTTCATAGTGTCATGTTTAACCCTGTGGAACCCAGGTTATTGGCCACAGCCAACTCAAAGGAAGGAGTGGGACTCTGGGATATTCGGAAACCTCAGAGGTAAGCTGTCTTCCTTCACCAGGCCTGAGAATTATCCGACTGCCTCCTTTCTTGGATGAAATGATCAGCTTCAGCCAGAGAGCATCTTTGTGAAAGCCTCACTGGCTGAGACCTCTGCATCCAAGAGTAAAACCTTTGTCATTAAATCCTGGGGAGTTCAGCGTTTTAAGAAGAGATAGAAAACAGGAAAATTTAAATCCCTACTTGTGGAGGAGGAAATTTAGTGTTACAAGAGTATTTGTGTTGTAAAAGCTATACTTAATAATTACCCAACAGAATAAAACACTTACGGTGGAACTTAAGGCTGCGTGGGAGGAGATATTTTTGTCTGGGGGCTTTTTTGGTGTTCCTCAATTCTGTTATATAAATGAGCTGTTACTTCACATTATTTAAAGTTGGCCTGATATTGTCTTGTCTTCACCTGTGTCTTATTCAAAAATTGTGGCCTCTATTTGCCTTACCTTCTCTTTTTGAGGGTTTTCTGCATTGCTTTTCAGAGAAGATTACCGAAAAAAAAGTGAATTAACTCTGAGTTAGCTGGGTTTTGGATGAAAGGGGCTTTAGAGTACAAGGCACTGTGTTGCTTGATAAGTTCTTAAGATATACCAGTTTTCACTACCACGGTGATCATGGGACTATTAAAATGCAGTACTCCGTAGTGTTAGGTAGGGCCCATTGAAGGACCCACTGTAGCAGTCCTTACCATGTAGGAAATGCTCGTGGAGGTTGTTGGAGAGATTTCCCGTTGATGTGCCAGCTCTTACCAAGGGAGATGGCTAGAAGGAGTATTTCCGAATAAAATACTTTCTTTCATTAAATGGTGAAACTTGAAAAATCCAGTTCAGGAAAATGATTTCATTGGTAGCTTCAGTATTTTTTCAACATCCATCCATACCTTTTGTCATCCAGTAAGTTAGCTAGGGTTTAAGGAAATGTGATTGGCATGGTAAAAATTAGTCTGATTAGTTTGGGTTCTGTGATTCTAAAGTGAAAATGACAGACCCGACAAACCGATCACTCTTCTATGGGAATTAACATGGTGTGGAGTTGGAATTGAATACCTGTCCTCTCTGCTAGTGTTCTTAGGCACCCAGGTCTGTCCTTGACCTTCTCTACCTAAAGGGATTGGATGAGATGCTCTGTTAGGTCCTTTCCACTTTTAAATCTTGGCTCGTATGAATTCTTATTTTTATCTCTTGGATGTGTCTTGAAGCTGAAAGGGGAAGGCAATGAGCATTTATATGGCTCCTACCACATGCCAGGCACTGTGATAAGCACTCTACGATGTTACCTTGTTTCATCCTTGAGACAACAAGACTCCGTGGTTTTACCGGAAGACCCCTTCTTCCCTTCTCAGTGTGTTTTTTTTGTATTTCATCAGTGAGATCCCCTCACTTGATTTTAGTCTTCTTTGTCTTGTAGTCTTTGCTTTTGTAAGCAAACATGTTAAAGGTTAGACTTTTATTTGCTATATGTGTTCTCCCTCCCATTGCTTCCTCTCACCCCAATACCTCCCAACTCCTATAAATGTATACATATCTCTTGGCATCACAAGGATGAAATGAGCAACTGGCAGCCTTAATGAACTATTAAAGCTTGAATGGTTTATCACCAGCACTGAGAAGAGAAAATTGTGGTTCTTTCATCCTTCTTAACTGGTTTCTTACAGTATGTTATGTTTTGACTCTCTTCCTTTTACTGGCCCCTCATTTGCATATAGATTGTTGTCTTTGGTAATCTATTATGTAGGTCCATAGAGAAGACTAATAATTTATGTAAAAAGTTTGATGGAAAACTTGAACTTTTCTTCGGAATAAAAAAAATGCATTGTTAGGAGACTAGAATTTTTTGGCTATTAGGGAAAGTGGGAGTTAGGGGGCTTTTTATAAGATTCTCCTAGGTTTTCTAGGTGCAATATAAGGAACCCAATGAAGTCTATGAGCTTATGGCTTCCTGAGGTACATGAAGTTAAACTTGTAAATTCTGATTGTAACAATTCATTGGTGCTTATGCTGCTTTTTCTTTCAGAGTTCACTGCAGAGTTGTAACAGACCATTTAATTTCTTTAAAATTTTTTTCTTTTTACTGTTATGAGCTTAACACAGATATCAACAAATATACACTTTCTAAAAGTGTATTAATTCTAGTGCCTTCCCTCTATTAGTTAGTTTCTGTTTATCCTGAATGTAGCTTGCTTTATCTGTATATTTGTTTGCGTGTTGTCTCTTCCAGTTGCTTGTAAGCTTGAGGACAAGGACTGTGTTTTGCCTTTCTGTGTACCCGCAGTACTTAGCACAGTACCTGGAACGTGGTAGGCACTTAATAAATATTAATTGTTTAATTGGTTCTCTCTCATCTTTAGTCATCTTAGGCTTATCCGCTTCTTGGTGCTCTGTCCTCTGCTGCCCCTTTCAAAGAGATTGTTTTTTCCCTTTAAAGGCCCTCCGACACTGTTGCTGCTTTAGCCAAATTTGAGAGTATTCAGTCTTCATCACCTGAATGTGTTGTATCATAGTTCATGCCCGTGTATCATCTTCCAGCTCCAAGGGTGGCAGCTTTGAGGGCATGTGGTACCATGGCATTCTGGATGAGAGATCTTTCTTAAAAAGAAATAGAATTATTCCAGTTGGGTATGGGTGTGATGTAGATCTCTTGACTTCATAGACCAGTATTGTTAACAAGAATATGTTTCCTGGGACTTCTGAAAGAAAACAACAATTATGACTTTCTGACCTTTCACCTTCCTAGATCCCTAATTTGATACTTAGAGCTGGGCGAACTCCCCTCTATCCCTGGCTGAGCTCATCTTCACTTGAAATAGAGTGAGGTCATTCTCTTTCTTCCCAACCCTATTGTATAATTACCAAACAGGTCTTTTAATTAGGTTTGAACTGCTGTGTTCATTACAAACCACAGTATTCCTTGTCCACTGTTAGGAGAGCTAACTGAAAAAGTCTTTACACTTAATGTGTGAAATTGTCTTTGGGGCATTTGAGAGCTGGGAAAAAAAAAAGATGAAGCTATTCCCCATAGGATGTGGAAGAAGGTTTTTATTTCCTCTTGTGAATTGTGTAGGTTTTTTGGTTATCATCTTTATCACACACACTAAAGGCATACCAAAAGGACACACAAGGCTTTCCACATAAACTTTTGTGGTGTGCACGTTTGGACTATAGAGAGGGAAGGGAATAAAGAACATGAATTAGGGAAAGGGGAATTGGAAGTATCTGTCTTCTAGGCTCCAAAGGGAACTTTTCCTTTATAGCCCTTCATGATCTCTAGATCTCATTTGAATCCCAGCTTATTCGATCTTGTGCATAATTTGGGCCTTGAGTAGGTTTTTCCTCATCTGGATTTGATCCGGTGATTAAGAACATTAGGAGGCCTGCTGGCCTGAGGAAGGAACAGTTTAAGAAGTGAAGTCCTTCCCAGATGATGAGCAGCAAAGGGCTTAGGCCTAGTCACTCAGCCTGAGGTTCCTGGGTAACTGTACAGGGTCTGTTAGGTGAGGCCATCCGTTTAACTTTCAGTCAGTCGATCAGTCCACAAGTGTTTAAGATGGTGATTTCTCTGCTACAGAGGGATACTGACCAGAAGGCTGCCTGCCTTCTTGTTTTCTGTTCCGGGTGTGTGGGAGTTAGACGGCTGGGGCCATCATTCTTAGAATCAGCAAATTCCTTGTAAGACGTTTTGCTGGACATTGAGGCAGATAGGTAGATACAAAGATAAATAAAGTATGGCCCCTTGCCTCAAGAAGGGGATTACATGGTGCATATGTAAGCAGGCATAACAGAGGTGGGATGAATAGTACTCTTCTCTTTTTTTTTTTCTGCTGCTATATTAAACTATAAATTGGCGATACTTTGCTACATGTTCTGCCCTAAGTTTATGGAGAAGAGGTAGCCAGACTGTAGCTTCCTGAGGTTTCTTTTTTCATTCCCTTGTCAATGGAGAGGAAGGCTGTCAGCTTGTTGGCAGCTTCTCATAAAAGAGAGATGGAGCGCCCTCTTCTGGCAAAGCTGGTGGTGCGGATGTGGTGGTTCCCTCTGGTTTGGGCTTCTGCTTTATAAGTCTTATCTAACTCTTCCAGGGTAACTCAGGTTCTGGAGTGTAAGAGCAGCAGGAGAGTACCCAGGTGAGGGAATTTTTAAAAGGGAGGCTTAGGAGTCATGGGCATAAAACATTGATCAAGAAATAACAGTAGATCGGTCCCTACATTGTGTTATACAGCAAGGAGTCCAAAGTTTCTGAACCCATTGTGAGGATATAGAACAGAAACTTTCAAAGTGAAATGAAAACCTGTGCTTGGCTACAGACGATGCTCAATATAACTTGATAGGTTCACAGGGAAGGCTTGTCCACTCCTGTTTATGGTGGAGATTCAAAGAACAGGAAGAAGGCTGCCTATGAGTTTTGCAGAACTGTAGTGAACCCAAAACATAGAAAACTTAGGTAGAGTTTTTTGTACTTTGCACCAGGTGAAGTAAAATCTAAGACCACTGTGAAACCAGGTTCTGGTGTACTCTTTGAGGCCCACAGTTCCTGAAGGATGACAGTGACTAGAAGAAACAAGAATCTGAATCTTTGAGAATGAGCTGTAATGAAAGAGAAATTGAGAAGCTGTAAGAAAATTAGAAGTAGAGTCTGAATTCAAAGCAAAAAAAGTGGTGGATTTTGTCCTATTATATTCACCAATGTGCTAATATTTTGTGTGTGCTCTTTTAGTTTTTTTTTTCTTATGAAGAAAAGTAGGCGATATGGGATAGTAACATCAGCAGAGTAGGGGAGTTCTTGGTTCTGGTTCTTGTTCTAGGTTTGTGAAACAGTGCTGGGAGTTACAGAAAGATTTAGATCCAGATTCTCATCGCTGTTTTCTAGCCTAGCTCTGGCTTCCCTCCTGTCTTCTCCATCTCTCTGCCATCCTTCAAACATGATCCTAAATGCTGAGTTTAATACTGATTTTTGAAGAAGCCTTCAGGAGTTTTCATCAATAGTGGAAT